TTGGAACTATGCCTGAAGAGCAATCAAACTTTGTACACCCTTTGATCTAATAATACCACTACTAGGTCTGTATTCCAAAGAGATTTTTTGAAAAAGGGAAAAGGACCTACTTGAACAAAAATATTTATAGCATCTCTCTTTGTGGTGGCCAAGAATTGGAAGCTGAGGGATGCCCATCAACTGGGAAATGGCTGAACAAATTGTGGTATATGAGTGTAATGGAATACTATTGTGCTATAAGAAACGATGAGCAGGCAGACTTCAGAAAAACCTGGAAAGACTCGTATGGACTGATGCTGAGTGAAGTGAGCAGAACCAGGAGAACAATGTACACAGTAACAGCCACGTTGTGCGATGATCAACTATGAATTGATTAGTTCTTCTCAACAATACAATGATCTAAAACAACTACATAGGACTCATGGTGGAAAATGCCGTCCACATCCAGAGAAAGAACTATGGAGTCTGAATGCAGATCAAAGCAAACTGTTTTCATTTTCTTTATTTTGTGTGTATGTGTGTGTGTTTTTCCTTTTGGTCTGTTTCTTCTTTCACAACTATGACTAATATGGAAATATGTTTTACATGATTGCCCATATATAATCTATATCAAATTGCTTACTGTTTTAGGAAGAAGGGAGAGGAGGGGGGGAAAAGAAAAATTTGGAACTCAAAATTTTCTAAAAATGGATGTTAAAAATTATCTTCACATATAATTGAAAAAAAAATACTATTTTAAAAAAAGATCCTTCAAACATCCTCCAAGACCTTAAAACCACCTCCTCCCTGAAGCCCCTGACAAAAGTAACACCATTTACTGTAGTAAAAAGACTACTGGATTTAGAGAAAGAAGACCAGAGTTTTTACTCATTCTGTAATTTTTGTCAAGATATTTCCCCTCCTGGCCTCAGTCTCCTCTTCTGTAAAATGAGAGGATTGGACCAAATGATTTCTAAGATCTCCTCTAGCTCTAAATCTATGGTCCTACAATCCTATGAATGCCCTGAAGTCCCTGTGAAAATTCTGGCTCTGGAAACTCTTTCTATTCTTCCCAGGTTCCATGTGTGAGATGTTTGGAATAACTAATTATGTAAAGCATCATGGTCTAGACTCCCACCAATACAACACATCCTATTTACATACCACGGAAGAGTGTAAATCAAATAGCAAAATATTTCATTAGGACAGAATAGTAAGGTAGATCCAAAAAATAATGAGGCAACAGAATCCTTCTCAAGGTCTGGAAGACCTTTGATAATCATTTAAGATCAACTGAGCCCCAATAAGGGACAAAAACCTGAATTAATTTTTTCTGAGTGAACTAAAAATGCCCCTTCCTGTGTTAGCAACTTCGGGACCAGCTGGAACTGACCAGCATTCTTCCTGTCTCTGATCACCAAGGACAGGATACTTGGGACCAGACACTCTCTTGAATAATGAGAATTTTCTTATCTTGGTATCCTATGGATATATGTTATGTAGGGGAAACACAGATATCCTGGACCTATAACTTCAATTGACACTTCAACATTCTCCTATTTTATTGTATTTACAACCTATTCAACTGAGAAGCTTCCTTTCCCATTCTATATGTTAAATATATGGAGGCTACACACACACACACACACACACACACACACACACACACATATATATACACACACACATACATATATATTTATCTATAGTAACACAGACTTTCTGAGTCAGGGTTTAAATGTCCTCCTAAAATTGCTTGAGTCAGTCAGAGTTAAAGCTCTGGCTCCATGTACATGTTGCTAACTTAAGGGAATAAACAATATGAATTGACACCTTCAAATCCATCTCAGATATTTACTAGTTGTGTGACCTGAGGCAAATCACTTAATCTCTCCCTGCCTCAGTTTCTTCAACTGTAAAATGGGGATAAGAGCAGCTACCTCCCAGGCAAATGAGATATTTGTAAAGTGTTTCATGCAATGCTTAGCACATAGTAGGCATTTAATAAATGCTTGTTTCCTTCCCACAGGGTCTATATGTGACAAGCACAGGCTGAGCTTAGTAGAGCATTTCCTATGAGATCAGAGGGCTCCAGTTCTCCCCCATTAGACTGTGAGCTAATTAAGAGCAGGGTCTATCTTTCTCCTTTCATTGTATGGCTAATGCTCAGCACAGCACCTGGCACTCGGTCAGCCTATCAATAAACATTTACCAAGCCTACTACGCTCCAAGAACTGTACAAAGCGCTTCAGACATAAATACAAACATAAAAAAAGGAAGATACTCCCTACCTTCAAAGAGCTTAAGACAACACACAAAAAGAAACAGAATCGGGGAGAAGAGGGGGTACTTGGTGAGGGAGTGTGATGAAGTCCAAAGGAAAGCAACCAGGTGGGGAATGAAGAAAGGGCTGGCCGGGGCCCTTCCTAAGTGGAGTTCTGGGGAGGGAGTTCATCTCTCCGCCCTCAAATAAGAGGAGTTCCAGAGGGTACCAAAGCCAATTTGATCGGCACACAGTAGGTGCTTAATACATGCTTATCGACTGGCTCTCCACCCAGAGTTGCACAGAAATGCCCAGGATGTTCTCCATGCGATTCCTAGTTGGCTTTGCTTCCGCTCCCTGTGTCCAGCCCTAAATCTGCTGGGATTCTCCCATCCGGAGACTTCCTCCAGGGAACACGAGCTCCCTCGGCTGTTATGGATACTCAACGCCACCCCAGAAAGCTTCATTAAAGGTGCAACGAGGGCATCTCATGGAACATGCATGAAGTTGTCCTTCCTGCTTGGGTCCAACCACGCCTGTGACTCAACACTCAGGCACCTCCGATGGTGAACTCCGTGTGGTAACCAGCATTGAAAGGAGTTGGTGGTTTGGAAGGAGGTGGGAAACTCTGGAAGGTGGGTGAGATGGGCCCGGTGCCATGTCACTTAAGAACAAGAGGTAGCTTCTGACTCATTCTCTTCCTTTGACTCCAAAGTGACAAGTGGTGATAGTCTCCATCTATAGACTTTTTGTGAGGGGATGAGCAATCAGTGGTACTCTCCCCACCTCCCTACCCCGCCCTTCAGCCACTCCCACATAGAGTCTGGACTCAGCAAGTTTGCCCCAGGGCCCCCAGCTGCCTTTTCTCTTTCAAGTTTCCCTCCCAGAGTAGGCAACAATGTCTTTCTTTAGGTGAAACATCAATCGGTCTTCGGTCTATTGAGTAGAGCAGAGCAGTGGCTAGGGAAGTTTCTGCATTACAAAAGAAAACCACAGATAAGAGAAGGAGCCCAAGTCCTGGGTCAGGCTTTCCAGACTTTGAGGGAGACAGTGCAGAGCCAAAGTGAAATGTAAGATGCCTATTTGGTGGCCCCACGAACTGCTTTATGTTCTGATGGGGTTTAAGGCTCAGCCTCCCCACCAGATGGTAACAGTAGTGTGGCTTCCAGGTCATATCCATGCTTCCAGAAATCCATGATCTCATCCATGGGGGCACTTCATTCCCTAGTGAAGATTAGAACTCATCCTCCAACTTCTTATCCTGAGCAGTTCTTACCCTTCCTTGAGTAGAACTGAGTGGTGGACCCCCTTACTGGTCCTTAGCCCTCCACAGAGGATCTGGGGTAGAGGCTTCTCTCTTGGCTTTTTACTGGTTTGTATTTCTAGAGCAACAACTTTCTGATCATTTCTGAGGTCCATCCAGGGGGATAAACAACTACTTTCCAGTCTTCCTTCTTCCCAATACAATTTCTCCCCCTCCTCTCCAAATTATGTAGAGCAGAGGTGGGGAGGCCACATACGACCTTCGACCTTCGAGGTCCTGGGGTGCAGCCTTTTGACTGAGTCCAAGTCTCACAGAACAAATCTTTTTAGTAAGGGGATTTGTTCTGTGAAGTCTGGGTTCAAAGGGCTGCACTTGAGGACCTAGAGGGCCACATGTGGCCTCAAGGCCACAGGTTCTCCACCCTCATCCTAGACTATAAGCTCTACGAGAAAAGTGACCATCTCACTCTCCCTACTGTTATCTCCAGGGCCTGGGACAGTGCCAAGCACATAGTAGGAGCCTAATCAATGCTGACTGATTGATTTGTATAATCAGATAGATTATGGCTACGGTATAGACTGGGAAAGGATTCTGGTCCTAAGGGTAAGGAGACCCAACTCTAAGTCAATAGTTGGCAACTTTCCTCCCACGGGAGAGATCAGAAGGCCTCGGTGTGTTACAAGGGAAAGCCCCTGGAATCACAGGGCCTAGGTTCAAATTCTGCCTCTGAAGCATACTACCTGCATGACCTTAGACAAGTCACTCCCCCAGTGTCCCTACGCGTCAAATGAGAAATTTGGGCTAGAATCTGACCTTTACGTCTCTTCCAGCTCCAAATTTCTGATCCCTGAGCCTCGGTTTCCTTCCCTGTAAAAACGGGATAATACCAAGCTGCCAGGGTTGCTGCAGGGAAACACAAACAGGCGCTATTACTATCTCTGCGTCTCCCGCTGGAGGGGACAATGTAGGACCTAGAGTACGTATGTATCCCCCAGTCGTTGTTGTTGTTGTTGGTCCTTCGTTTTTGAAGCGGACTGACGACACCACGTTTGTGCGTAAATTGCCTAAAGGCAGAGCTGCGCAAGTCGCCAACCTCACTCTCTCCTCCAGTCACCCACGCCTAGTCTTCTTTGCACGTTGGTTGAAGAAATAAATGACCACGTGAACGTCAAAGGACTACAATTCCCAGAATGCTGTTTCGAACCCATCCATAGAGACCGCAAGGCCAGACTAGCAGTGCGCACGCGCACTTCAGCTTTTCCTTGTCGGGACTTCAGCCTGTAACCCCGCCCCACCTTTTGGGAGGCCGCCTGGTCAGAGTACGCATGCGCCGCGCTGCCTGCTCCTTCTCTCCCTCCTCCCCACGTTCACACTCACTACCACACGCGCGCTACCTTCGGTAGCGCTTCGCGCTCGTCCCCCCGGCTCCTTTTTGTCCCTTCTGGGCCGCGGTGGAAGCTGCCGGCCTCGCGGAAGCGGCAACAGTTGGCGAAGATGGCGGCTACGGCGGCAGCCTCCCGGGGAGGCAAGCGGGCCGGCGGGGGCGGCGGGCAGGGCGGCGGCGGCGGGGCCGCGGGCCGGGGAGCCGAGGAGGAGGCGCCGCCGCCGCTGCAGGCCGTGCTGGTAGCGGACAGCTTCAACCGTCGCTTCTTCCCCATCTCCAAGGACCGGCCCCGGGTGAGCGCTGGGGAGGGAGAGAGGGGCGACCCCGGAGAGCGGAGATCGCATAGCGGGGGAGACCCGGCGGACGCAG